ATATATATATATATATATATATATTTACGATCATATAACTTTGATTCTTTGAGTTATAATCTTTTACGCAATATTTGAACGATATTAAGACATGTGTTAGTATCTGTTTATTTTCTGAAATCTTTTAAATATCTCTCAAAAACACATTTTTCTAATAAAATGAACAAAACTTTTAAAAAGTACTTATACGCACAATACCATACTAACAAAAGTACTAATAAAGATATCAGTACTAATAAAATTCTACATCGCAATATTATCAAATTATTCAAATTATTTAAATAATATATGTAAACAAATTTTTTATTTAAAAAAACGTTAGAATATACATGATGTACGTTTACTGCATGAAATGTGTAGAATTAATTATACAATTTATAATAAATCTTTTGTTAATATATTATTTCAGAATTGCCATTTGGTACCAAGCTGGATGCCAAAACTTAAATTTATGATCGAAACGTTATCACCAGAAAAAACTCATCATAACTTTCGATTATGGTTGACGTCTGCACCGTCGCCTGACTTTCCAATCAGTATTCTTCAAAATAGCAGCAAAATGACAATTGAATCACCGCGGGGTGTAAAGGTATTAGATATTAGCTGAATTGAAATAATCATTATTTCAATACAATCATTTTATCAGTTTTACGCTTTAATAAACTTTAATAAAATATTTTTATGAATGTTCATTTTATAACATTAAAAAAAACAAAGTTACAAAATATAAATTTTTGTTATGAAATAAATCGCAGTATAAATGCGTCTGTGGCAAAAATAAATAAAAATTTGTTTACGTATTATAATTCTTCATGAAATTATCTTGTTCTTGTTTTTCGTTTGTAACGTAGGCCAACATGTTACGTACATATCTGACACAAGTCACGGAAATACAAGAGTTTCTGCAATCCGATCACCTGAAAGCTCTGTCATTCAAGCGGCTTATATTCTCACTTTGCATGTTTCACTCAATCCTGATTGAGAGACGGAAATTTGGTCCCCTCGGTTTCAATATATCCTACGATTTCACAAACGGCGATTTAGCTATATGCTTGTCACAATTGCATATGTTCCTCATGAAATACAATACTTTGCCGTTTAAGGTAAAGTATCGATCATAAACAAAGCGAATCTTAGTTTCAACAAATATTTTTCTGTTGTACCTATTTTAATTTTACAGAAACATTGCACAATAGATAGCACATTTCAAGAATAGAAAGTTATAATATTTTAATATTTTCTCTTTGCCAAATGTAAAGTTACAGAGATTAAATACGCAAAATTTTTTTTATATTCTATATTTGAAAAGATTCATTTTGAATTGAGTCGCGTTTCTTATATAATAATTGCTGAGTTAAATATCTTTATATCATAATAATATAAAGTCCACAGAATTTTTATTGATTTAATTGTTAAGTTTAGTTTAATTTTAAATTTATATGTTAAAGGCATGATTTAATGATATTAATTCTTAAATAATTATTGTAATTTCGATAACAAAGGTTCTTATATATACTGCCGGGCATATCAATTATGGTGGGCGAATAACAGATGATTGGGATCGTCGATGTGTCTTGACACTTCTCGAAGACTATTACAATGCTAATGTCATTTCTCAAGATTATCAATTTGATGAAAAAGAATTTTATCATCAGGTATACATATTTAAATAAAACAACAGCTCTTTTCTAAAAATTATCTATGATATAAATTGAAATGTTAAATTTTAACCCATGGCAGTTCCAAAAATATTATTTAAAAGTAGAGGAAGGTCACCGATACCGACATACCACTTTGTTTTTAGACAATATTTCTTAAACAAAAGGTAAAAATACAACTTCAAAAATATAAATACAAAGTAAAAAGTATCTTCTATCAGATAGTATAAGCAATTTTTATAATAATGTTTGCAATTTTGCAATAATTAAGTTTTTCGTAAGTTATGCAAAAATGAGCGTCTGACAAAATGGGCTCCAAAACTGATATAGTAGGCAATAATACCAACATTCCTATTTTATAAATAAAGATATATTCTATTCTGTAAAGAAAACTAATTTATGAAACTATAAACATTTAAAATGACATAATATTATCAATAATACAGTCACTATTATTTTAATTACGCAATTTGCAAAAGAACACCGTAAGAATTTTCTTCTCGGATTCATAGAATCGGTTTTTAGCTGATTTGATATAGAAATAAGCCACAAATGTATGAATTATGAGTTTGTACTTCTTCAATTAGCTAAACAGATCATGATTTTATTAGTATTAATAAAGTGCAATAGTTAGTTTCTGAGAAATAAGGGGATGTCACTTTAGGAGACCTATGTCAGAGTATCGGCGACTTTCCTCTACATATATTAAATATTCTACTTGGTCTAAAATATAAAGAAATATATAACAAGATACGTATATTAAATCATGTTTTAATATTAATAATATTAAAAACAAAAAGAAAAGAAAATAGTAATACAAAAATTTTTTTCTAAAAATTTATAATTCTGCACATAATTTAGAGAATTCAGATCTTAATAAAATATTCATTTCATAATATATAATGACGATCTTACAAATTTCAATGACATATATATTATCAAAACCATCACCCTGAATAATAATCAAAAGATTTTATCAAAAGATTTTATCGCTCATTGTTTATTAAAAAATTATTAGCAAAAAAGTTGATAATATGAAGTTGTGTTTAATTTTATAATTTAAATTTTACTTAATTTAAATATTACATTATTCGCATATTTGTACATGTGTAAGCAGAAGATTTTGCTCTTTTCCCTTTCCCCATGAAGGGACTGCACCCGAAAGATATGATCTAACCCAAACTCAATTTTAGTTTCAAATCTCAAATCAGAAATCGTGACAGTCAATTTAAGTGTGTCAATAATATCAACGTGAGTAATCATCGGGACTAAAATTGAGTTTGGGTTAAGTTATATCTTACTGTTGCAACCCGATACAGCCTCTCATAGGAGAAAGTGAAACCTTATTCCTTAAAGTTACACTTTACAACCCGAAAAGAAGTTTATCTCACATCCCCTTTTGCTTAAAGAGCGAAATAGAAACTATAATATTATTCTTACATTTCCACGTAAGTATTTATATATAAAAATTTTTCATTTAAATATATATACATGTATGTATATATATATATATTTAAATAAACGATCTTAAAGAAAAAATTCGAAATTTTTGCTTGTTATAATTCACAGTTTTAGTGTTGATTTAATTAAGAAGGTGACAAATATTCCTGGCACAATAAGTTTTAAACATAATATGATAAATATTTTTTTATAAAGTTGAAATTCCATACGAAAATCTATACAAACATTATATCACTATCCGAAATATCAGAGCTAAAATATGTTTATTATGATTGTTAATAACTTTTATTAAACAACGATTAAAATACATTTTGATTGTTATTTAGAGCGATCATCTTGACTACATATTTCAAGATCATTGAAATTGGTGAGGTCATCACAATTATGTAGTTTTACTTTAATTTTCTATAAATAAATAATTAATTGCTTTAATTTTAAGTAAATGTTAATTTTTTAAAAATGTACATACGAGATATTTTCAAAATTTGTATATTATTGTAAATATTGTTTCACTAATATAAATACAGTTATACATATAAATATTTCTGTCACGAACAAATTTCGTTATTGTAATTAATAAATTATTAATTACGCGCTTTTATTGACCACCCTATATTTACACATTCAAAGTTACCGGCTGCAGCGACATTCAAGGATTATCTAGAGTACATAAAAGATTTCCCTTTAAACGACAATCCGTCATTGTTTGGCATGCATTCAAACGCCGATATAAGCTATGCACAAGCAGAAGCACATGCTTGCCTTACAACTTTATTAAAGATGCAGCCTAGGGAACTTGGCGTTGCAGCCACAAGTGTCGAGGAGGTAACAACTCAAATAACCAAGAATATGATAGCCACAATGCCCGAATCCTTTGATTTAATCGCAATGCAAGCAAGGTACTAATTAATATTTCTTTTTATGTACAAATGCAAACATATATTTTTTGTTTCTAAAAGTTTATTTTTTAAATATATTCTTATTATCGTTACCTTGTGAATTTAAAATAAAAAGCATCTTGCGATTTTATTATAAACTACAGATTTTACAAAAAATATCCTTCTGTATATACTTTTTAAAATATAATGTAAAAAAAATTACATAACATTATTTTATGACACATTAGTTTAATTTCTTAAAATTACATTTTAAGTACAATATCTAAAAATATATTCACTTTTCATATTTTATATTTTCGAAACAACTATATAACTCTTATAAAAAATAATTTAAAAATTCTTGATATAAACTCAAATGAAATTAATCTAAATGTGTGTAAGAAACCTATATCTTGCAAACAAGTTAAATAAAACGTTTGTTGAATCAGTAAATAAAATAAATTGAATTTCAGGTACCCTATGTCGTACGAGGAATCCTTTAATACCGTGTTACTACAAGAAGCTAAGCGATATAACGATTTACTCGAAATCGTGCAATCAACGTTGCAAGATCTTTTAAAAGCTTTAAAAGGATTGGTCGTCATGTCAGAACAGCTAGAAATGATAGCTACCAGTTTTTTTAATAATAAAATACCTGTAAATTGGCAAAGCAAAAGTTATCCTTCTCTAAAATCTTTAGGTAAGAACATCCCAATTACAAGTTTATCAATATGTAATACAATCTTTATTTCAGTCTCAAAGTCAGTTTCCAACAAACTGATATTATTTGTTGTCATTTTGACGTCAAAAATTTGTTATAACAAATATTTTTTATCATTTTGATTAGCCGGATGGTTCGTCGATTTAAGGGAAAGAATTAAATTTATAAGCAATTGGCGAGACCAAGGTATACCGCCTGCGTTTTGGCTGTCAGGATTTTATTTTCCTCAAGCCTTTTTAATTGGCACGTTACAAAATTTTGCGCGTAAATACGTATTATCCATTGACACAATCGATTTTAGCTACAAGGTATGCTTTCAGCCATTAATTAAATTGTTAATAGATTCATATGATTGATGTACTAACTATAGAAAGATAAAAATATTTGATAAAAACTTTCAGTTATTGGAGAGATTCGTTAACATAAGTAACAGCTATAGTCAAATAAAACTTGATACATTGATATCTTATACAATCTAAAATAATTACAAATAAATATATTACGTCTAAATAAATATTATTGATTAACTAATAGATATAAAAATTAATATTAATCTTTGTTTAGTATTGTATGATTTTGTAAAAAAATTTGAAACTATATCTATTATTAATCTTGACAAAATAGATAAAAAGATACTTCAAGCAAAGTCATGAGCAATATTATATGTGTGTCACAGATTTTAACTTCCAAACCAACGCAGAGACCATTGAATGGCTGTGTCATTTATGGACTTTTTTTAGAAGGCTGCCGGTGGGACGGAAAGTATCTCGTCGAGTCTTTACCAAACGAATTATTCACCGGTTAAGTATTAATAATGTTTCCATTACACTAAAATTAATTTCATTTATTTGAATTATTAAAAGTTAAATTATTAAATTACTGAAATACATGTATATATATAAATAGCCGTGCTTTGTTGAATAAATCATAAATTATTTAATTGCTCTGAATTCCGTTTACATAACGATATACATAATGGTATGGTAATTGTTCACTTGCTGTCCAGACATGCCGCCAATTCTCGTATTACCAGAAGTTCATCACGTAATTGCGCCTTACAAAATTTATGTATGCCCTGTATACAAAACTATCGAGCGATCTGGAACTTTAAGCACAACAGGACATTCCTCGAACTTTGTTCTAGCGATAGAAATTCCAACTGACAAACCGCAATCACATTGGATAAAAAGAGGGGTGGCATTGATATGTACTTTGGACTATTAATATTTCTTTGTTGCTATATACCACAGCGTTTATGATTTATGATTGACAATTATTGAAGTATTCGTAATATTATTTATATACATGCATTATTAATATTATAATTATGATAATAATGATTCTACCAAATAAATTTTTGATTGTAAAACATATTTTTCACTAATATTATTATTATTTTGTTTGGATGTATATCCTACACAAAATATATACGTTACATTCATCATGAAATAATTATAAATTTATCGTATATACTATTGGTAACAATTAATCATTAATAATTACAGTATTGTAAAGATGTGTATTAATTAAATGTATAAATTATAATTATTTGCTTTATTAGAGTTTCTTACAAAATAAATTATACATGAAATATACAAAAAACACACATACACTTAATTAGATAAATAAGAATATACTTTCATTATATGATATCTTTTATTAAACATAAAAAATATTAACAAGAGCTTCTTTTATTAAACTCTGGAAACAATTTCAAACAGATAACAATATCGAATGGAAATTTTATTTATGAAGCAAAAACTGCTTGTTGAAAATAGTTTAATCAATGTTTGCATTCACTTGTCGTTCTCATATAATTTGGGATCTTTGCGAGTATATCGATCATGTGCTGCAGTCGACCACATATATATCCCAGTTGACATTATAAATCCTAAAATGAAAAATATTGATAACACAATTATGAAGAGGAAGGAAATATTAAATAAAATAGAACTTTAAAAAAAGTTGCGTTATATATAAACTGCCAGTCCAAATAACAATAAAAGGTTCATAAAAATAAAATTTTAGAGATATATAAATCTTCAATAAATAATTCTCGCATATGATGAAATTTTAAATCTTTCTTTTTATAAATCAATAAAAAATTATTTAAATAAAATAAATAGATTTTACGAATATTATTGGCTTTTTTAAATAAAACATACCTTTCACATTTAAAATATACATTATATTACAAGAATTTGCAAATAATTTGGGAACATTTATATGTTTCATGTATAAAACACTAAATGCAAAAGGGTTCAACTTCCAAAAAAAATTAAGAAACTGTTCATTTTTATCATATAATTCCTTCTTATTAAAAAGTCACTCGTAAAAATAATTCTAACTTAAATATAACTTCAATAGTTCTAATTTATTTTTTTAGAATTAGTACAATGCATATATTCTTTTATAACTTCTATATACATATATTTTTAACTTCTTAAATTATAATAATACATATAATTTTCTAAAAATAAAAAGTTTTAAAGACCATACTATTATCAAAGCGACAAAATTTTCATTAGGGCTATCACTACAAATGTTATTAAATTCTATGTAAAATTTGTTCTCGTTTATTTACAGAGATTGAACACGGTCGTAAATTTCTAAAATCATGTCTCAATTTATATACTGCAAAATTTTTTTTATAATATAATAAAATATACATAAAGACAGAAATTGATTGTGCCATAAATGTAGGTTGTAACATTATTTAATAACGTTTTTTGTCATTAAATAAATATATATTTAACGACATCATATTACTATTTGCAGAGATCAAAAGGTCAGTTTTTATTTTAGTTAAAAGATAAAAAATATCAGCATAAAAATGATATTTTTGATACCAGAGAGTAATTATGGATTAATAATATTACAAATTTATAAAAATTAAAATATGACACGAATATAGAATTGTCACTTAAAATATCTCAAATTAACCAATTCTTCTTTTTATAAAATTAGAATATTGTTACGTTAAAAATGAATTTATTCGTATAAAGTGCATATGTGCAAAATAATTTTTGCGTATTCTTTTTTATATCTTTTCCATATGCAATGTTTTGTTAAGTTAGATCAAATCAGATTAAAATTTTCAGAATAAGTTTTTAACGTATTATTTATATGTATAAATAAATATGAGCTTATAGACACACTTGTATTATTATGTAGTAAATTACGATTATTTTAAATTACGATTTATTTTAAATGCACAAACTCACACAAGGCTTAGTTATACATGATTTCGGTAAAGTAAAGACTACTTATCTAATATTTTCTTCCACATACAGGATGTTCGATTTAATCTGTGCATACCGATTTTTGGAAACTATTAAATATAGACGAAAAATTTAAAAAAGCTTCTTTAATGGAATTACTTTGAGATGATTTCCAATGCGACAAAACTGCATTTTAAGAGAAAAAAGGAGTCAAATTGTTTTAATGGAATTCTCTTATAAAAAAAGACTAATCGATAGAGCTCGAAAGGACAATTCTATTGACCTATGATATTAGAAAATCTATCTTCGATATTACGTCAGCAGCAAATTTCTGAAATCGTCTCAAGGTTCGTACTACATATGGAATTGCTCGGAAGGGATTCCGATCATTTTTCCTAGAAAACAAAATAGAAATCTAGGGAATAATTGAACAATTCCGATTGGAATCCATTCCGAATAATTCCATAATACGCGTCCTGAGACGATTTCGAAAATTCGTTATAGTCCTAATACCAAAAATAGACTTAAATCGTAGATCAATAGATTCGTTCTTTCAATTGCTCTTGCTTTTGTATAGAGGTATTCTATTTAAAAAAAATTTTACTCTCTTTCTCCTTTCAAAATGGAAATATCGTTTTATCACGCTAAAAACCAGATCAAAGTAATGTCATTGAAAAGGCTTTTTTAATTTATGGTTTATCTTTCATAGTTTTCAAAATATCGGAGCAAACAGATTAAATCGAACACCCTGTATGTATGATAGATATTTGAATATTTTTGATCAAATACATATTGAAATTATTTCGAGAGAAGATAGAAAAACAGAATTACAGAAAGGTGCAGTAGGCATAAAATGAATTTCATGGTTCGATACAATCAGTGATTGCATTTGGATGTAAAAATTGATTTATCAATGATTGCATCAGGGTGTAAAAAGTTTGTACTTATATAAAACAAGCTGCTTTATAAAGTTAAAATGTTCTGTACTTCTAACTGAACTGGATCGTTAGTATTCATGTCTTATAAAATGTTGCCAATTAAAGCTAAGGATTGCAATATCGGAAACCGATATTTTGAAAATAAAAATCTGTGTATACTTATAACTATGAAAAAACAATTTTTAATATACAAGAAAAAAATACATTTAAACAAATTATTAAAAAATAAATTATCAAAAAATAAATGATAAAAATGAAATGGTAAATGTTAAATGGTAAATTATTAAGAATAATATAGAATTAATTATCAAAAATTGCTTAAATATAGAAATAATGAAAAAGATAATAATATTTGGCCTGTTTATGGAGGTTTTACATTTAGATACTTTAACTAAAAAATCTTACAATTTATAGTTCACACATATCTAAGAATTTATAAATTTTATCAAAAAATCAATATAAATATCAAGGCCAATAAGAGTCAATTTTGTTTATAAACCTTTAAACCATTATTAATAGTAAAAAAACAATACGTACATACATAAGCTTATTAAAATTACATGTTTCGGCTCTCGGATTGAGCCATCCTCAGATTCATTTACAATAATATATTTATGTCGCTCTAAAAGTTTATGGTGACGGTTTTATGCGCTGATCTAGTTGACTGTTTTCATGTTAGAATCTGAGGATGGCTCAATCCGAGAGCCGAAACATGTAATTTTAATAAGCTTATGTATGTACGTATTGTTTTTTACTATTAATAATGGTTTAAAGGTTTATAAACAAAATTGACTCTTATTGGTCTTGATATTTATATTGATTTTTTGATTTCATAAGAGTCCTTTATTATTAACTTTTTATAAATTTTACAATAAATACAGCTTAAAAAATTAATTATATTACAATATTTATTTAATTTTAATATGTATACGTTGCGTTAATAATAAGTAAAATATTTAAATATGCACCTGGAAGCATAGGTGGAAGCGCACGCATTGCTCTACTCAGCAAATTGGGTATTCCGTGCGTTATCGATTTTGCCCAGGCTCGTTGCTCCAATGGCGATAGACTGTAATATACGACTCTACGAATTCGTATCGGTAAATTGCCAAATTGCAAACCCATTTTGCGGGAAAGAACAGATCAAAGAATTGACTTCTAACGTATCGCTATCAGTGCTTTCTCTGTGATATTTTTCGTAGTTTGTAAAAAAAAAGAAATGAAAAAGACAATTGCGAATTAATATCATAAAGCGCACTCTTATTTGAAAATTAAAACTAGATCTCAGCCGCGGCGAATGATAAGAGCAATGACTATCGGTAAAACTAACCGAGAGTATGATGATATGGAAGAGAGCTCTTATGCCATAGAACGATGAAAGATATTATATACTGAATCCTAGATTTTCAGCAAAAGATCATATATACTAGCTCAAAAGTATACGCGTTCATTTTTTAGAATGAACTATATCAACCACAATAAATTAAATTTCATTCCCGCAAGATAAAAAATTGAATTAATTCATTGATTTTATTTATCAATTCTAAAATTCTGAAGCGTCTTAGGGACGCACTCATAATTTTACTTAAATAATTTTTAAACGATTTTATATCACATTTTCTAACTTCGTAATTAAAAATAATTAACTGCATTAACTACAGTTAACATTAATTTGTATTTTTAAACAGATTGATTATATCATTATTCAATCGTCTAATTTTTGTGTCTTTAAATACTCTCAAAGAGAATTTACAAGTTAATTCTCATTAATTTTATAAACTCTAATAAATAAGTAAGTTTAATATACTTAACATATTAGCTCTAAAATTTTACAATAAATAAGATTAACGTATATATATATTTCTACACATTTACGTTCCTTTTGTCTTATATAATAAGGTGGATACTAAGTACTATTCAAGATTTTAAGGAATGAATTTTTTATTTTGAATTTATAAGAGGAATCACCCCTTAAAATCTTTTAGAGTACTTAGTCTTTTTTTATTCATACATTATTAACATAAAATTTTTCATGCAAGTGGCGCTTCTTACTAGGTTGATAAAATTTAATGTGTAGATTCAATTTAATTTGAATGTATTTTTCTAAATCTCTAAAAATAGTTAAATTTTGTTTAAATAGTAGTACTATATTTTTATTATGGTATTATTATTATTATTATGAAGAGAAACATTAGCCAACATAGTTATCGATTAATATTATTAAGTAATACTACCTAACAATTAAATCAATTGCATAATTTTTGCTAAAGAAAAATATATAATCTTACTCATTATATATCCATCAAATGAACGGTTTGCTAATATAACTATTTATTTATTTTAAGCTATAAGTAACATATAATTATTTTTTTGCATCAAGAACAATATCGACTCTTAGTCTTTTATATCATTAATATAAAGTAAAAAGAAACATTTACAAACAATTTCCCAAACCTAATTTATTACCTGGGCCATTATCTCCTGGAATGAATACACACTTCCTGCCCTCCGACGAGCAGGATGATAAAAGGGACGGCACGTGGCAAAATCGGCGCATGCTTACGCAGCACGTAAAATTTTCGCTGCGTGACCTAGAATCTTACGAGCCCATGAGAGTCGGACTTTCCCTGATCATCGACCCTCCTCCGTCCAGACTATCGCGGCGACTATGAGGTGTGACACGTCAATAAGTACAATATAGCACAAGGACACCTGTTTGCCTCGATCGTGCACGCCGGAAAACGTGCCATTTGTAAACGCGTTACGAGCAACACACACGCACAATGATGCAATTGTGAGGTTTACCTAGTATGGCGTGACGTATGAGATATCCGCTTTATATTTCATTCCGTCATTCGACACAGTTACGTCAGTTCCCAGAGCGAGCGAGAAAGAGAACGAAAATAAGAGAGAGAGAGAGAGAGAGAGAGAGAGAGAGAGAGAGAGATCCCTAAATTCAGAAATAGAAGCTTAATCAACAGGCTGTAGACTCCGATGATAATTAAAAATAATCTATCGATGTGTAATCAGTTACGTATCCTCCCGATAAATAAGTATATATCTTATTCGTAGCGACTTTAACAGTATTTTTCTTGCAAGCGTATTCTTTTGCGCGAGATGTGTGTACCATAGCGTTTTAACAAAATTACTAACCCAGCTTCGCGGTATAGCGTTCTGTATAAAGACCGCCGTCGTATTCATTGCGGAATGTCCTACTTCTTGACCGCCACGCGCCGTTCAATTTGCACGATTATCTAGCCATGGCTGATACGCTAAAAAGTGAGTACACGCGCGGGATAGTTTCAGTTTATAGTAGAGTGCCGACGACAACGACGATGACGACGAGGGAACATATGCCTCCGTTCGCGTTTTATCTATGTCCGCGCCTGTTGCGCCTGATCCCTCTCTTTATATTAGCCCTCTCTTTTTTCTTCACCCTTCACCGCCCCCTCCGTACGCCTTTCACCTGTGACCACCCTCTTTCGCCGCCTTCTCTTCCGCATCCCTCCTTTCTTTGTATGCTTGACGTACGGTTTGATACATCCCTGCAGATCGTGCGGGTTTGAGGGGAGAGCTCTCGCACCCTTCCACCCAAGCCGACCTTCCACCCTCCGATGCTCGTTTCCCCGCATCCCATGCCGCCACCGATGCCGAGTGGAGTCGTGCGCGCGAGTCAGTTACTGAGGTAGTGGCAACCATATACCACAGGCCAGCAGCACTCAGCAGTAGCAATACTAGTAGTAGTAGTAGCGGCAGCAGCAGCAGCAGCACCCGGTCAGCACCCACTTGTCGACTGGTCGACACCACGGCAGCTCAACACCGGTCCCTAGCGACTACTTGTGCGATTGTTGAGTGCTATCTAAGAGGAATTAGAAACACGGCGCCGGCAGCGTGTACTTAGCGTGTAATTAACGCGACAATTAATTGCCGAAGAGCACGAACTACCAAAGCAACTGACCGCACGCGTGCGCGTCGACGTGACCAGCTGCAGCCTGTTGCAAGCGGCGAATTATGACGTGAGTCCACGGTCCTTTACTCCTTTTTTTCCCCTCTCTACCGTATTTGCGTATCTCGTCGATCGAGCAACCAAATCCTTAACGTTCAATCGTATTAATATTGCGTTGATGTATACTAGTTATACATTTCACGTTAAATGTGTGATTACAATGAATATAGCCTGGAGAATCTCGTGATTCATTCATTTCTGATATTCTTGAAGAATGTTAGAACATGTTTCTCTCTCTCTCTCTCTCTCTCTCTCTCTCTCTATTAGTCTTAACAGAATTCTAATTTTTGATATTTAAATGTAAGAAACGTGAGCATAGATGCATATGTTTGAACATATGGAATATTAGCTCTCGTTATTCTTGTAACCCAACAAACATTGATACGTTATCGATAAACCACCAAAACATATTTACCTACGCTCTTGATTGATAAACGCCAAAAACACATTTATGTAAATGCCGAATCATCCCTCGATCGATTTAGCGCGATATACCCCTCGAAAAAAAAAATTCATGGCAAAATATCGTGCTGTGCAAACATAATTTATGTGCGCAGCAGTTTAATCGAGCGGATTAAATTACTTAATTACAAAGCTTGTGCATGACGGGTGGAAAGTTACGGGGAAAGCTGCGGTTGTTTTCGTTATTAATAAGCCTGCCCGTAATTATACGCGTTCGATCCGAACAGTACATATATACACAATACCGATACGAGCGTATTTTCATCGATTGATTGTCGACATCAACGCAATCGCACACAATTTGATTCTTTTTTTCACGGAGTGAAAAGAGACCTGCCACGCAGCAGACAGCCAGAAGTCAGAAAGTCGAGCATTCAAAGGAAAGCTTCATCAATCACCGAACTTTAATCAGTGTACAATATATGTCTCTCTCTCTCTCTCTCTCTCTCTCTCTCTCTCTCTCTCTCTCTCTCTGTCTGTCTGTCTGTCTGTCTATCTATCTGTCTCCTTTCTTCTTACACCACGTGTCGATGCGCTCTTTGAACTGTATTTTCCAATAGCTTTGTTTTTTTTTAACGCGACACACTCTCATGGCGCAGCGCATACACATCGCCGTAATAAGAAAAGTGTAAAGTACTTACGAGAGAGAGAGAGAGAGAGAGAGAGAGAGAGAGAGAGAGCTGCGAGGTATGCACCATGGGAGTATCGATTCTACAGGGCAAATATAGCTACTTTCGTTGAAAGTTCCTTTGTTCTCTTTACCGCAGTGAACCATATGATAGCGAGTAACGCGCGATGAACAATGGCAGCAGATAGCAAGACGACGCGGCGAGTTTATTGAATTTTCTGCGGGGAACTTGCATCCTGCAGACTTGCATTTGTTAATGCGTGCGTACGTTCTAATTTATATATATAGACAAGCTTTATATATAGGTGAGAAAAGACGAGACATTTAAATCTATATATAGCATAAGGAGTCTTGATTCTCGATCCTTTTTCCATTATCATCGTTTTCTTTTCTGGTATACACTTTTAATTTACACACCTTTAAAGAATAAATCCTCCATTTAACACATAAAGTTTTAGATTTCTATTTCTACTGGCTACATTGTTTGAAATGTAATGCTTTGAAATGACAACGGCTTTAATTTTATGTATAACATATATAATATATTATTTCACATAAAATAATCCAGCAACGTTATGAAAATAATTTGACATACAACAGATGGATACACATTTAAGCTGTACTCAGGTCAAGGATACTAATCGTATATTTTTGAAATTTATTAGCAATAGACTGTCCACATCACGTGCATAAAGCGTAATATAAATATGAAAAGAATTTCATTCAAACGACATAAAATCGTGATATGATATTTACCAAGGTTGTAATATATCATAAAACGAGACTAATGCTGTGATAAAAGCTATTTGAAAGCTCGTATCAAAATGCTATGTTATATGTCGAAATATACCACAAGTAGGCCGGGTTGAGAAGCACAACCATTGATTTATGTACTTTGTAAGTTGAAGAAACAAAGTTCGTAGCCTCTTATTTTTCTTGTTATAGTCGCGTTACCTTGAGAAATATAATGCTACACATTATTAACTTCGTTCTCACATATTTCTCACATGCCATAACTCAAATAATTCTCGTTTAAAAGCCAATATAATGTCGAGATACGTCAATAATGTTGCAACAAGCCATTGGATGAATA